TTATTTTTGTTATTATCATCTTTATCATCATTGCCACTGTTACTATTATCCTTATTATTGATATTGTTTGTATTATCATTATTATTAGTAGTAGTAGTAGTATCGTTGTTGTTGTTGTTATTGTTATTGTTAATGTTATTGTTATTATTATTATTATTATCATTATTATTATCATTATTATTATTATTATTATTATTATTATTATTATTATCAACATTATTATCATTGTTATTATTATCATTATTATTATCATTATTATTATCATTATTATCATCATCATCGTTATTGTTGCTATCATTATTATCATCAAAATGAATAATGAAGATAATGCTTCTAAAATAACCGACAATTCCCTCATGATAATCTAACCATTGTAACACCAATGAACACACAGCACATAACAGCATATACATTGAATTCACACTTAAAAATACCTGCATAACAAAATTTATTACACAAACAAATGAAAAAAAATCGTATAACACAACAAAATCTATCTATCTATCTACACACACACACACACACACACACACACACACACACACACACACACACACACACACACACACACACACACACACACATATATATATAAATATATACTTTAAGATTTCAATTTCCTACAAGTTACTTTATGTAGGAATACGAAAGAGGAAGGGGAGGGGGAGGGGGAGAGGGGGGAGGATCATTGCTGAAAGTGGGGAAAGCTCTCTCTCATTTAGCTTTCATTTTATCGTTGTGTGATGCAACATAACTGCAATAAGAGTGGCTGAATGGAAGAAGTTTTTTTTGAGTGTCTGTGAAACTGCAAAGAGAATTATGATGGTAAGGGTGATGGTGATACTGATAATGATATTGATAATGATAGTAATGGAGACAAAATAACAACAGTAAGGGTATTTACAGCAGTGGCCATGCAACCAACAAGCAATATAATGATAAGGATTATATTACAATAACGAAAATAATAATAACATTAATACTGGAACAGTACAAAGATAATAACAATCTTAACCATGATGTAAATATAGGAAGATAAGAATGGTTATAATAACAATGATAATAACAATTTGAATAAGAAAACTAGTGATAACAGCAAATTATATACCACACCACTCTCATAGTCACTTATACCATTACTACAACTACTGCTATTACTGATAATAATGACCATAATTACCAAAGAATGCCACTATTATCATCTTCCCTGCAACTGCTGTTATGACAACAATAATGACGATAATAACAACAACAAGACAATAAGAATGAAACTACTATTAATATGACTACTACTACTCATACCAACAGTGGTTATCCAAGCCTCAATATAACGGTTACAATGTTGATAAAAGCGATTGCGTAAGAGGTATTAGGTTACTGGGTGCCTGATTGGGTGTCTGATTGAATGGATGACCTGCGCATGGCGTCATGAGGTTGGTAAGGTCATGGGGTTGTGGATTAGTGCGTGGTAATCACTTTCGTTAGGATGATTTGGTTTGGGAATCCATGGGCTTTGGTTTTGCTTTTTTCTTACTGTGTGGCTGTCTCTTGTTCTCTCTCTATCTATATATCTAAATCTGTCTGTCTGTCTGTCTCTTTCTATTTATCTATCTATCTGTCTATCTCTATCTAACTATCTCTATCTAGTTATCTCTGTCTCCGTTTATGTCTCTGTCTCTGTCTCTGTCTCTCTCTCTCTCTGTTTTTCGTTCTCTCTTTCTCTTTCTCTCTTTCTGTTTATCTATCTCAGTCTTTGTCTCTGGCTGTCTACATCTTTCGTTCTCTCTGTCTGTTTGTTAGTCAGTCTGTCTGTCTGTTTGACAGACTGCCTGCCTGCCTGTGTTCGTTTGTGTGTGTGTGTGTGTGTGTGTGTGTGTGTGTGTGTGTGTGTGTGTGTGTGTGTGTGTGTGTGTGTGTGTGTGTGTGTGTGTGTTGTATGTATGCCTGTATGTATATAAGTACGTATATATGTATGTATGTATGCATGTATGTATGCATGTATGTATGTATGTACGTACGTATATATGTATGTATGTATCCATGTGTCTATGTATGTATTTATGTACGTCTATATATATCTATATATCTATATCTAACTATCTATCTATCTATATATACACACACAGACACACAGCAGTGTTGTTAGTATAACTTACCCAATACCTTTCCGGAGTACTAGCTATACGTCTGTACCTAAAATTATGCAAATATTCATGCATTCATCCATCCATCGATCCATCTACGAAATGCTTTTCTATCTACCTATTTCTCCCTGTCCAGTCATCCCTCTCCTTGTCTCTATCTCTGTTCCCACTTTATCACCCTCTTCTCGTTGAAATTTCTGTACGATAAGCGTGTGGCTTTGTCATCGCGACTCTCCGTTCTTATCGTTCTCGTTCATTCTCGAAGATTCTGTGTCATTTCCCTTCCAGGTGAGGGAGGAAACACGTGTCTCGGGGGCCCCATGCGTTTTTAAGGAACCCCCGTTAGAGAACCAACTCTCAAAAATTATTTTTATCCTCCCTCACGTGTCGGGAAGAGGCAGAGGTTTTACATCCGTGTTGCGTTGTGGTTAAGCGCACTTCCGCCGCCAGAGGGATGGCCGAGCGAGGCGAGGAGACGAGCATCGGCCGGGTAGAAAATAAATGGCTTTGGGAGAAATGATGTGGGTGGGTGGACGTGGAAGGAGTATTGTTGGATTTTGATATTTTGGAATGATTGGTTTATTATTGGTAGAAAGAGAGGAAAAGGAAGGAGCTTTGCTTTTGATCCGCGGTGGCGCCACCTCCTGGCTCTCGCGCTCTCCCCTCCCCCGTCCCCTTTCCCCTCGTACCCACCTCCATCCTCCTCTTCCCCTCTCTCTCCCCGTCCTTCTCTTCCCCTCTCTCTCCCATCCCCTTCCCATTCCCCTCCTACCCCCCTTCCTCTATCTTTCCCTCCCATCTCCCTTCCCTCTCTCCTAACCCCTCCCCCTCCCCCCAACTGAACAGCCTTCCCACATCCATCCCTTCCCCTCTCCCCCCTCCTAACACTCTCTCCCCACCCTCCTCCCACTCCCTCCCCCCATCCCCTACCCACCGTCCTCCCACAGTCCACCCAACACTCTCCCTACTCCCTCCCTCCGCCTCCTCCCACCCCCCCTCCCCTCATCCCTTCCCTAACACTCTCCCCACTCCCCTCCCACCCCCCCTACCCCCTCCCTCTCACCTCCCCCCCCTTCCCACCCCCCGCGCCGCGACACCACAACCCGAGCCTGACATAGCGCTCGGGTCCCGTAGTCGAGCCGCCAGTACACCTCCCTCGCTCCTTCGCGCCGCTCGTGCCGCCGAAACCGCTCGACCCGCTGCCGACCAGACTGCACCGCGGCTTCGTCCACTCCTCCTCGTCCACTCCTCCTCGTCCACTTCTTCTCGTCCACATCTCGTCCACTTCTCGTCCACTCGCCGCTTTGCAAAGATGAGGGAGATCGTCCACCTCCAGGCAGGCCAATGCGGCAATCAGATCGGATCCAAGGTAAGGAAATTAATGAGGGATTGTTATCGTTATTTTCTCGGTCTGTTTGTTTTATTTATCATTTATTAAAAAAAAGAAGAAAAATCGCTCTCTCTTCCTCGTTTAATTAAAGACGAACGAGGGAGAGAGGAAGGGAAGGATAAATGAGTGAATAGAGGGATATGCCGATAGATGTGAGTATTTTTTAATTAAGAAAATGGTGTACCTTAAAAAATGATAATAATTTTAGACTTAAAAAAACATAAATAATGAACGGGGAGAGATGGCAGGAACATAATGAATAAATAACTTTATTTATTTTCTCTGTTTATGTATATCTGATAAAGAGGAATAGATATAACGGATAATTAACGACGAGGAAGGCGTGGAAACTATATCTATTCACGTATCTCCTCGTTCATCTATTCATTTATTTCATTTTCATTCATCTGTCTTCTTTCTCTCCCTCTTTTTATCCTCTTTGTTTCTTCTTTTTTTCATCTGGTATTTTAAAAACGACGAAGCGTATTTTTATTTATCAATTAATTTACTCATTCATTCATTTCCAACTCCTCTCTCTCTCTCTCTCTCTCTCTCTCTCTCTCTCTCTCTCTCTCTCTCTCTCTCTCTCTCTCTCTCTCTCTCTCTCTCTCTCTCTCTCTCTCTCTCTCTCTCGCTAGTTCTCTCTCTCTCGCTAGTTCTCTCTCTCTCGCTAGCTCTCTCTCTCTCGCTCGCTCGCTCTATTTCTCTCTCTCTCTCTCTCTCTCTCTCTCTCTCTCTCTCTCTCTCTCTCTCTCTCTCTCTCTCTCTCTCTCTCTCTCTCGCTCGCTCGCTCGCTCTCTGTCTCTCTTTCTGTCTCTCTGTCTCTCTTTCTGTCTCTGTCTCTCTCCGTCTGTCTGTCTCTCTCTCTCTCTCTCTCTCTCTCTCTCTCTCTCTCTCTCTCTCTCTCTCTCTCTCTCTCTCTCTCTCTCTCTCTCTCTCTCTCTCTCTCTCTCCATCTATCTATCTATCTATCTATCTATCTCTATCTATCTATCTATCTATCTAACTATCTCTGTCTGTCTATTTGTTTGCCCCCCCCTCTCTCTCTCTTTCTCATTGTGCCCTTTCATTCATTACTTTAAATAGAAATGAAACAAAAGTGAAATTGCTTTCTTCTTTTTTTTCCGTTTCAAATCCCTCGTCTCCTCCCCTCAAGCTCCTCCTCCCCTTCGTTCCCCTCTTTTCCCCTCTCTTCCCCCTTCTCAGTAGCTCTTCTCAGCCCCTCAGGTCTCTCTTCCTCTCTCTTCTTCTCTCTTAGCCTCATTTTTTTTCCTTATTACCCATTTCCCCTCTTCCTCCTCCCTTCCCTTAGCTCTCTTTCTATTCTCTCCCCTCTTCCCTCTTCCCCTCGGTTCTTCATGTCGCTTTCTTCCCCTCAATTCTACTTCCTTTCAATCATCTCCTCTCTCTCTCTCTCTCTCTCTTTCTCTCTCTCTTTCTCTCTCTCTCTCTCTCTCTCTCTCTCT